GCCCGGTCATCCGCCTGCGTTGGGGAGGCATGAGCCCCGACATCCCCCACACCATTGTTCACTGTCTCATCAACCTTCATAGCCATCTCATCTGCCATGCTACCACCATTACGCACTAAGTCATTACATCAGTCGTTTAGCTCCGGGCTAACCGCCAGCAAACCCGAGCGTCCTGGCATTCCAGCATTCATGTCAAACGCTTCTTCCATTTCATCCCACTCCACCACCTGAGCAGCCTCCTCGACCTCCATGGAAGTCTCGACCGCCACCACCACCGGCTGGGATACCGACCCGCACACATCCGCCAGCTGATCCGCTAACTGAACCAACTGCGAGGACGGGATTTCCTCCTTAGAAACCACCTCAGGAGACTGAACCGAAACCCCCCTTGGAGGCGACAGCGCTCCCTTAGCATCAATGTTTTGAACCTTAGCTTCCCAGCGACTCTCGTGCACTCCATCCGTTCCAGGCGTACCACCATCTCGGGCCTTACCTTTGCACTTACCGCCCGTCGTTTTGCTCGGATAACGCTCTCCAAGCTTCTTACCATACCCTCCACCACCAATGCTCCGCCGTCGATCCTCTCCTGCCGTACCGTCACCTCCACCCTCGCTTAAGCGGAAAGGTGACCTTCGGTCACCTCCCGCCATACCCAGCGCTTCTCTCCCTAAAAAAAATAGGAGAGAGAAAAGAGCGGGAAGATAGATAGAGAGAGAGAGAGAGGTAAATAGAGAGAAATTGAGAGAGGGAAGGAAAGAGCAAGAGTGAGGGAGAGGGAAAGATAAACAATGAGAGAGGGAGAAGGGAGAGAGATAAAGAGAGAAAAAACATAGTTAGTTGGAGAAGAAAAACAAGAAATAATTAGTTAATAAAAGAAGTAAGAGAGTGAGATAGAAAGTGAGTGAGAAAGAGGGTAAGAGAAAGATAGTAGGTATATAGGGATAGAGGAAGCAAGAGAGTGAGAGTGATAATGTGTGTGTGTGTGTGTGTGTGAGAGAGAGAGAGAGAGAGAGAAGAAAATTTAGAGAGGGAGGAAGAGAGAAAGAGCGAGGGAGAGGGAAAGATAAATAAAGAGAGGTGGGAAGGGAGAGAGAGATAAAGAAAAAGAATAGAGTTAGTGGGAGAAGAAAAACAAGCAAAATGTAGTTAATCAAAAGAGTAAGAGAGAGAGAGAGAGTGAATGAGACATAAAGAGAGAGAGAGAGAAAGAGAGAGAGAGAGAGAGAGAGAGAGAGAGAGAGAGAGAGAGAGAGAGAGAGAGAGGGAGGGAGGGAGAGGGTAAGAGAGTGATAGGAGGGATACCTAAGAGAGATTTCAAATTTCAGCCAAATTCAAGATTCCTTAATCCTAGAAAAACAAACTATTTAATGCATACAATCTAAAAGGAAATATCTAAACAGTCTCTACTTTCAAATTTCCCTCCTAAACTCCTCCTAAATCCTTCCTAATCAGAGCTTTTGGCCTCAATGGTTTGAGCGGCATAAGCGGAAGGCGAACTTCTCAACTTTCAATCAACCTTCAAATTATATTCAATCAATTTCAATTATGCATTTTATTGTCATTAATTTGGATAATCCAAACTCAACCATTCAACTCCAAAATCCAATCCAAATCCAAGATTTCAAACCAAATCCTAAGGTTAAGGACTCAGGCCCTGAAACCCTTTCTGGGTGATTTTTGTACCACCTTGAAACCAAGTCTACCATAGCCTTCCTTATGACATGTTGACCAGTAACCTACACTTTTCAAAACCCAGTTTGACTCATTGTTGACCTGGGGTCAAAATGGCCAAAATACCTTTTAAGGGGATTTTTTGTCTTTCCCCCAAAACTCAACTTAGTTAAACCATATCAAACTTTAGAACCTATCCCAATCGATCCTAAATATCATTTGGAACACATTGGATCCAAACTCTCCCTTTGGTTTGACCTGGTTGATCAAAATGCCTCTTAAGGGTTTAAACACCTATTTAAGACCAAATGAACTCCCCTTGACTTAGGACCACTTCCATTGAGTTCATATGATCAACTTGAACTCAATGGACCCAACCCTTGACCCTAAGTCAACTTAGTTGACCAAGTCAACTAAGTTTAACCAAATACATATACCTTCATCCTATTCAAACCCTTTGACCAAGGATTTCCCAAGCCAATTCAAACCCTTAAAACCACCCATTGAACCCTTAGGGATGACCCTCTTGAGACCCCAAGACTTGGGCCCACTTGGGTTAGCCATTTGGCTTGACCCAAGTGACCAAAGAGTTGCCTCTCTTAAGTCAAACTCCATCCTAAACCAAATTGGATCAAACTAATGGTTGAATTGGGTTCCATATAAACCTATGCACCTACCCTAGTTCACTTAGTGCTTTGGTCAACTTAGGTTTAAAATTGGGCTAACTTAAAGTCGTCAAAACCACTAATGGTTGAACCATTTCCCAACCTAGGCCTCACCATGCCAAATCAACACTTCCACTATATGGCCCTAGGTTCAACACACCTACCCTAGTCAGCCCAACACTTAAATTGACTTGGGTCAACCTCTAGGCTAGCCTAAAGTGGTCAAAATTACATTGACCTGAGCCATCTTCCTCCACATACCCAATTAAGCCCAATTGACACTTACATTGAGTGCCCCATTACCCAATGTATCTCCCCCATCAATCCCAAGACCTGGCTTGACCTAGGTTGCACCCAAGTTGACCCAATCCGTACAGGTTTTGGTTGACCCGTGCTCATTCCAGCAATTGTGATTTCTTCTACCCAATTGAGCTCATGGATGAGTTCGCATGATCCTTAGAGACCTTTCTTGCTCAATCCAACCCATTCTATGGCTGGTGATGGCAGGACCAAGCGGATTGGAGCTTTGGTGGTCCCCCCTTCCTTGGGCCGTTCGCCCGTGCAATTATAGCCATCGATGGCCGTGGGAGGCAGCTGAATAATGCATTTTGATTCATCCCACCTCAATTGATTCCAACACTTCGAAATCACTTCCTAGAACTCCCAGAGCATTCCTCTGAACTCTACCAGCTTCCCAATCTCTTCCAACCAGGGTCTCGAGCGAGCTCCGATGAAATTCATCCATGTCCCGCTCGAAGTCGTACCTCCGGCCACCCTTCAGTCTCAGTGTCTGAAGGAGAATTGATCGTCGTCATCCCTTGAAGTTTCCTATGAAGAAGCTCATTCGTTTTATTTATTTATTTTTAAATTTTGGATTTCTAAGTTTGTAGGAGAATTATTAAATTTTGAGGTGTAGATGGATAGTTAGGTTTCGTTTGAGACAATTTTCTTACAGTTTTATAAAGCAATTTTTTAATTTTATTTGAAAGTTTTTGTACTAGAAAGCTGCTTTAGAAAAATAGTAAGAAAGTTTTCCTAAATGACATCATAATTAAAATATGTACTTAGTTTGCTGTACGTTATTGTTTCATGTGTTTATGAAAAAAATTTTAAGGTATTTTTTATTAGATTTTTAATAGATTTTCCGATGTCCAGGTTTATTCATTATCATTATTATCTTTATTTCTCTCTTTCTAATATCATTTTAAACTTGTCTTTTATCTTTATGTTTAAATTTGACTTCATTAAATTTTAGATTAGATTATATTAGTTCAATTTATGTCATTTAATTTTATTTATTGGTTTAGGTTAGCTTTATATTTTATCTTGTGTTGAGAGTTATTTGAATTTGATGTTAGTTGTCTTGATTTCTAGCTTTAAGTGTAAAATTCAATTTATTATGTTTCTCTCTTAGATATATGTATCGATGTGTATATTACTTGGTTTATTTCTTATTAATGGTTCTAATGTTGATTTGGCTCTTTGAAATAATTTATGCAGGTCAGATGAGCTAAGCGTCCAAATGGGTAAATGATTCTGAAATAGAAACTAACCTATCAAGTGGGTATGACGCTCCCGATTAAGATTCCATAGTTTCATCATTTTGGGTTCGTCGTTGCCCTTAGCACTGAAATTTAAGTTAAGTTATATCAAATATTAGTATTAAGTTGGCATCATTTGGGAGGTGCTTATTGACATATTAAGAGATAGCATCTTCTTGCACATTATTTCAGATAACCTAAATGTTTTTAGTAAAATATTTTTTAAAGTAAAAATTTGAAAGTAGGAATATTTAAAATTAAGAAAGCCTATGATTAGTTGAACAAAGACTCATGGTACATGTCTACAAGATATACTGAATATGTGAAATTATAACTTGTCAATGAATAGTATTGGAAGATTAAGTGGTAAAAACTAATAAATGTTAAGTACATTAGATGTGTTAAATTAAAAAAAAAAATAGAAATATACATGAGGAGAACTTCTAGCATTAAAACTAGGTGGGTATAGTAAAGACATGTCTTTAAAATATTGTGTAAACTGTAGATTTTATGTAGATTTAAAAGAAATTTTTTAATGATTGTAAGTAAACTAGCAAAGTTATGTTTGATTTTGGCGATGAAAACAAATACATTACTAATGCACAAATAGAGCACCCTAAAATAACAAATTTGGAGTAAAACTTTGCAGAATAGAGTTGGAAATCATTATAGCAAAAATAGTCATCAACTATCAAATTATTTGAAAAGAAATGAAAATTTTCATCAGAAAAATAGGTCATTTGATCTCTAACTCAGACAACCTATTTGAACAAGGGTGAAGGGCTTCAATAAAAAAATGTTACCTCTGGCTCATACACATTACCACTAGCATTCTATGCATTGATTTCATACAATAAAGAATATGCTGAAGATGATAACTCTTGGCCATCATCTGGAGAAGTTAGCTTTACCCCACCCATATGAGCTTCCACAACCATCAAATGAATAATTGCCACAAAATCAATTAGAACTTAAGATGACCATGTATCTACCCAACTCTCAATAACAGTGTCACTCTAGAAATCATCAGAATCCAAACTATCTAATTTCTAAAACTAAAATCCAAAGGTAAATTAAAATACAATAATAAAAAAAAATATGATGGAAGCATAGACAATGATACCTGATTAAATGTTAGAGTTCCAGTTTTATCGTTGCAGCTGGTAGTGGTAGATCCAATCGTTTCACAAGTTGATACACTCCGAAGATGTAACGTAGCAACTTAATAATAGTTGAACGTATAGAATTCTAGTTTGATAAGAAGAGAAGCATACCAATGCTTTGTCTGTCATCATCTTCTTCATTGAGTAGGCAAGACTGAAATTGGAAAAATCAATTAACCATGAGAATCATGAAAAAATTGACATCATATCATCAAGAAAGGAATACAATCAACACTTGCATCAATGTAACAGCCAATGGAAGACTTTTAGGTATAACAACAACCATAATACTCACCTATTTATAATTCACAGGCTAATTAGTAACTAGAATAACAAGATCCAAGTCTTGCATATGGCTACGTTACAGCTTCGGAGGCTATTAACTTGTGAAACGATAAGAAGAGAAGCATACCAATGCTTTGTTTGCCATCATCTTCTTCATTGAGTAGTCAAGACTAAAATTGGGAAAATCAATTAACCATGAGAATCATGAAGAACTTGACATCATATCATCAAGAAAGGAATACAATCAACACTTACATCAATGTAATAGCCAATGGAAGACCTTTAGGTACAACAACAACCATAATAGTCACCTATTTATAATTAACAGGCTAATTAGTAACTAGAATAACAAGATCCAAGTCTTTCATATGGATACATATCGCAACAATCAAAATCTTAAGAGCTCCATCTACAACATATTTCACACTTCTATGCCCCTTGACAAATTGAACACTTCCATCAAAATTCTTTGTATGACCAGTGAAGAGTTTGTAAATTATATCTCAAAGTTTTCAGTTTGCAGTATCTAAAACTAAACACATGTAAATTATATATTGGGTTCATTTGTCCTTATGATTATAAGGACAACAAGAATAAACGCAGCAACAGAGAGCCCTACTATGCCAGTTAAAGCAGCAACACCATTCAAGCGCACCTTTTCATAGGAACCATAAATGAATCACATAGGAAAATCAGTATAATCATAAGCAAATCATTAATAAAATGGGCCACAAAAAACCTATAATGGAGTTTGTTCACCACTGCCTTCCGATATACTGGCCATCAATAATCCCCATTCAGTATCGATCCTCACAGCAGTCACCTGCACACAAAATAATTTAGAAGAGACACATTAGCAAGAAAAAATAATAACAAAAAAATATATTAAGGATCAATACAGGTAATACAACTTCCAAGGCATAATTACATCTAACTTTGCTTTATGTAACTTTGAGTGAGAGTAAGGTAGAAAAAACAAGAAGCAACCATGCCCCTAGAAAATGAAATCAACATTCAACGCCATTACAATTATCATCGTTATACTAATGTGCACTATTTGAGGCAAATGAATCAATATAATGGCAAAAATCCATCCATGTTCATTATAGAGAAAAGAAGATTTCAACTCCAAAAAATGAAATCTTCTCATGAAATTTTCTAAACCCAACCTACATTACTGAACCACCATAGGGTTATCCAATTAAATAGCACTCAGATAATGCTAACAATGAGCCCTTCTAGAATTACCTGCTGCACATTTGAAATAAATTTCCTGGTTCAAGTAAATTTGAGATACCAACCACTAATTCTTATAAATCTATTGTAAAAAAATTACAGCTATGGCTCCTTAAAATAATGACAAGTTCCTAGAATGCTTATAAAAAAATTGGCTAAAAATTACTTGTGGTTTATCCAGAACATTTTGTTCCAATCATAAATACTCAAGTGACAAAGCTAGTTTAAAATATTGATCAATAGTCTGCTGCAGCAAGCAATAATAATACTATAGATATTTAATAATACCCACACTACTATTCTACAAGATACAAAAGAAAACAACTCACAAGCATAATCCCATAATCGTCAGCGACTTTGTACCCAGGCATCAAAAATGGTGTTTTGAGATCCTTGTGCGCCGACAACAAAGAATTGAAACAATCTTGTTAGTCTAAATGATGAGAAATATATAACAACAACATCAATGACCCATTATTACCAATGACCCACTATAACTCTTACTCTCTAAAAAACTACAATTGTATGAGAAAAAAAACAGACTCATGGATACATTGTTGGAAGGTCCACCACTTTTCATAAATTAATATAAATTTGATAATCATACACCTCATGAAGAAATGAACTGCAAGGATCATAAAAGTAGCATACTTAGTTTATTAGTGAATCAAAAAAATGAATGCCACTCAAGGAAATTTTGATGAATCAGTCAGGATCACTAACCAATTTAATCGATTCTCAAACATATCATTTTTTTAATATCAACAAAGTCAATGCATTTTGAACGCATTTTATATGATATTATAAATAAGAGTGACGTGATTGACATACAAGAATACATTGGGCATTATATATTAATAACTATATATATAATATAGATTATGTTAAAAATTTAATGATATGATCGGGTATAGAGTGTAATTCTCATTCAAAAAATAGAGTTGCTTTTTCTATTGTTACATATTAATAAATAAAATTTTCATTGCCACAACCGAGGATAGCTCCATTTGGTTTGGAGTTGAGAGAGAGGAAATAAAAATGAAATGGAAAAGGAGATATTAAAGAACATGAATTTAAAATAGCTTTTCACATTTGTTTGATGGATGAGAAAGTGAATAACCATTTAATTCATGCTTCGGGTTTTACTTTAGCTTTTCCTTGGGTTTCAGCAAAAGCACATAAGAAGTACATAAGTTAGAATTTCATTCATAAAATCAATTTTTTATGTATGACAATTAAATCAAAATGATCAAATTTAACTGTGATGTAAAAAATATTTCTTATCAATTTTCTCCAAAGCAAATGCAACCTATGTAAAAAAAGAAAGAAAGAAATAAGTAAATGAAATGACAGTGTTTCATCTAGCTAGAAAAAGGGTGTTACCCTAATACTAACCTTCTTCTCAGTATAAAGTTTTTGAATTACATATCCAATATCTTAAGTCCTCATTAGCATGGGTTCATCGTGGCTATACTTATTTGCTTGACTCCTAAAAAGATGTGTAAATAATTAAGCAAGAAGCTCAACAAAACAAAACAAAAATTAAAAGTTGAAAAAATAAAAATAAATAATGTTTTAATGGTTTATTACTTTGATTTATGTGCTCCATCAATCACTCTCAAACTTATCATCTTGAAATATAACTCATCTGGGTTCCTGGACATGGCTTACTCTCCAAGTATCTATAAAACCAAGATATCCTCAAATCTCATTAGTACCCTTTCTGATAAATATGTGGCCACTATACTATAGAATATTACTACAAAAATCCTACATGAAGAGTCTCTTCTTTATTATGGATTGACTTAGCTCTCACCACATAATCGTTGTGCTTCTCAGGAAGTCCAAACTTCTTTCTCGCTTGACTGAAGATATAGTTCACACAAGGGAAAAAAACACTTCAAGCTTTTTTTATATAATTTACACGAACTAATAAATAAATAAATAATCAAGTGGTTGTTGCAAGGCTTACGATTGTGCCCAAATCTGATATACTCGTATCAAAGTTGTAGCCCTATGTGAAGATATCATCACAACCACACCAAGAAATTCCACACAAAACACCTCTTCTCTGAATTGTAACAAATTAATGTTGTTTGGTAGTAGAATTTAAGCAAGATTTAACTTAAATATCACCGAATAGTAAGAATTAATTAAGCGTTTCAATGAATTAAAAAAAAAACATAGAATTTACAATCCTGAAAAAACATTCAAGGAGAAAAAGGAGAAAACAATCTTTACCTTCTTAGTGAATTCTCATCGTGACTTCCAATCCCATCATGACTTTCGATTTCAACAACTCAGTTTGTTATCTCCTTCCCACCATGAGAGGAGGAATTTGTCGTAACCTCCATTCCAAAATAGAGGAAGGAGAAGAAAGTCCTTTTACCGACTCTATCAAAACTCATGACATGAAGCCTGACTTCCTATCAGAGAGGAGAAGGCCAAGATGGTCCTTTTAGGGACTCATTCAAAACTCCTCATGCGAAGCTGAAAAAAGAAATGGTTTCAAAATTCCTCACGGGAGAGGAAAATGAAGAGGCACAAAATCAAACAGTGCAGATTAATTTTAATTAAAAAAAAAAAGAGGATCGCTTAATGGCAGAATCACAATTCACATTTTACAGTAGTATAGATATATTCAATTTTTCCTCTTAAATGAGTAAATCAATTTTTTTTTTACAACATTTTACCTTTGAGGTGGGTGCTACTTTTAAATTGATGTAACGAGTAAACACGATAAAGGAGTAATAAAGTTATATATGAAGGGTTATCTCAGAAGGAATCCATATTTCGTGGCTTGAATTTGCCTTGCTAGAGATTTTAAGGATATTCTTATTTTTATGTTTTTTAAGGATCCAAAAAATTTTATATTCTTACATACCTATACTTCTGCCCAACTACATTATTATCTTGTGTCATAGTTTAATAGAGCTCAATATCAACACCGATGATGAAGAATTGTCCAGCACATGACCTAGAGTTGGGTACAATAGTGTTAGCTTTGAAAATCTAGAGGTATTATTTATATAGTGTGAGGTGTGAAATATTTACTGATCACAAAAATTTTAAATATATTTTTATAATAAGAAATTAAATTTTAATAAGGACTTAAATTTGAGGCAATAAAGATGATTTGAATTAATCAAGGATTATGAACTTGATATCTAATACAGCCCAATCTGGTGGCTAATGCATTGAATAGGAAATTTAGGGACATGCCAATTGGATGCTAATTTACAACAATAAATTGATCAAACATTTGATAGTATTACAATTAAATGTGATTAGCTAGAATGATCAAATCCCTAATAACTTATATAAAATGATAGTACATCTGACTTTGTATGAAAGATTTCGATAGGTGGATGAATCCAGTGGGTAATATCATAAGCTAATGAATCAAATTCAATTAAGATAAAGGCAAGATCTCATCCTTGATGACAAAGCATCGATCAAAAGGGACATTTTTGGATACTAAATTAGGTGGATTAGTTATCGATATGCTTGCTTATTGGTTTGAAATTTTTGGCATAATTAAAATATTAGCTTATATATATGCATCCTTATATTAGTTGAAATTTTGAAAGAAATAATAATTGAAGTGATGTAAAAAATAATCTAAATTTTAAAGTTCATAAACAAATTTTGTTTTTTAGTAAATTCTATAATTCGCACAATCTTAAGTGATGCTCAAGATTGTGCGAATTATAGAAGAATTAAGTTAATGTGTCATGCTTTAAAACTATGGGAGCGAGTTATGGAGTGTAGGTTGCGGTGTAATACTAATGTTTCTCAAAATCAATTTGGATTCATGTCGGGTAGGTCTACAATGGAAGTCATACATGTATTGAGAGGTTTGATGGAGAAATATAGAGAGAATAAGGAGGACCTACATATGATTTAGAGAAAGCATATGATAAATTCCTAAGAGAAGTGCTTTGGAGAGTTCTTGAAACAATAGTAAAACTCAAAAGAATAGATAATATTTTGATAAACAAAAAAGTAATGCTTATCCTATTTTATGAGTTGTCTTGAATATCCCTATAACATTAGCAAGTTCTGCCTCCAATTCATTTTTCTTCAACTAAAAAGGAAAAGTTGAAGTTAAATAGAAATATAAAAATATATAAGGAGATTTTCACATAATAAGAGGAGAAATATTGGAATATCAACTAAATACAATAATTAGCATTACTTTAATATCACACCTTTTTTTCAAAAAGAATATTTCACTGGGCCTTTTCTAACTAAAGGCACGATTTGAATATCAAGCTTTTGAAGATGCATGAATATTCTAATATTGATGATCAAAGAGTTCAATAAGCGTTTTCAAATTCTCTTTTTTGGGGAATAACTTATGCATCAAAATTATTAAATAAATAAAATATGTTAAAATTTAATAAATTAAACAAAAGACAACCTACATAAAAAATAATACAAAAACAACTTAGCAGTAATAATAAACCTGAAAGATTGTAACATGGCATCTATAGCAACCACAACTATTTTAAAAATATTATTTTTAATTGCTTTTACCATAGATTCTTGGAAATGATCACAAAAATCAAAAAAATATTTTATCAATAAAATTTACAAAAATTTTAGTATAACAAAATGAATGATAAAAAAATGATCAGAGAAAGAAAACAAACTGCTACTACAACATCTAAAAATGCAATGAACTATACGAAAAAAAAAGGAATTTGAAAAAACATAACATTAAGAAAAATGGATGTAAATAAAGGTTATTGAAAAAACAAGTATATCCTAAAGAAGACCAAAATCTAAAATGGAAATGACCTTAAATCATCATAAAAATGATTTTGAATATTCTATGAAAATAAATTTAGTTGTATTTTAATTGGTCATTTCATCATCATTCACTTTATTCCAATTATCTATGAATCAACATTTTCTATTCACTCCAGCAAAGTTTTGCCTAAAGTACTAAATCTACTCTTCACAAACTATTTTAAAACAACTTCTATCCATGTCACATTGTCAACTCCTTCACATTCTAAATCCTCAAATATAATACTCTTCTAATTGATATATTTTCTATCTTTTATTGTACATTCCTAACTACACAAGTTTATTTTCAATAACCTTATCTTGAATAGATATCCATTATGTTAATACAATCATTTCTTAATTTATCCCACTCACGCTTTTCATAGATGGACCTTAATATTATTAGAGCTTTATTCCAATTATCTATAAATAAGCATTTTTTATTCACTCCAACTAAGTGTTGCTTGAAGCATTAAATCTAGTCTTCGCAAATCATTTTAAACAACTTCTATCTATGTTAAGGTCAACCCTTTCACATTCATAATCCTCAAATATAATTTATATACTTATCTAATGGGTGTATATTTTATATTTTATTGTACATATACTAAGTGTACAAGTTTATGTTCAATAACATTATATTTAATATATATCACTAATCATTTCTTTAATATAATAATTTCTTAATTTATCCCTCTTAATGTTTTACATGTACATACATTAACATTCTCATTTTTTGTCAATCTTCTTTTAATTATCAATACTTTTTTACTATTCAATAATCAAATCCCTACATCTTTAAACTTTTTATCACTTGGCTACATTATATTTCATTTTCCTTCTTCTTTATAATTATATTTGCTATAAATAAAAATATTGAATATTTCTATTTTGCACACTATACCTATTTCAAAATTTAAAATATTATTATTATCATCATTATCCTATAGTAAAATTCAATTTTTAACACATT